TTGAGCCTCATCCCCAGCCCCGAGTCTGCTTCTTATCAACCAACCTCTGCCTAGTGACAGTCAGCCTGCTATTCTGGAACATTTCATTCAGAGACAAGGTAATCACTTCCTTCAACAACTAGCCCATTCCAGTGTAGGACAGTTCTAGCCCTTAGGTCAGGTTCCAATTCTGTTGATTCAAAATTTGCCTTCTCTAGTTGTGCTATTTATTCTCAAAGGAAGTAGGAACCATACAAAGATAGCAGCATTTCTCACCCCATTCCACACTGCAGAGGAAATATAGGGGAGTCAATGTGGCCTATGGGAGATGTAGTGGAAGTGAGAGTCCAGTGGGGGCAGAAATTGAATCCTACACAGGGAAAGATGAGTGTCACTTCTTACCGTATCCATTGTCCAGGAATTCAGTGATGAAGCTGGCACTGCAGGGGGACCAGGGCTCCTCAGGATCCACATGAGCCATCACAGGAGCCATGACATGGCGGGAGGTGCTCCCATGCCCATTCGAACTGACACATTGCTTGGAGTTGTCATGGAGCATGCTGAAGACATGGCCTGTAAGGGCAGAGGTCCTGCTAGTGACTAAGGGTTCCTTSAGCCCTCAGGGAGCTCCATTATTAATCTGGATGCAGCTGTGCACGATCAGATCCATTYCCTAACCAATCCTGCCCCCAACCCCTTCCTGGTGCTCTAAGAGCTCCTCAACGTAGAACCACCATTGCTCCATCTCCCCTTCTCCAAAGGAAAGACCCTTCCCTACTCATTTTTCATTCTAGCCAACATTCCCAATCCTGAACCTYCCTTCCCTCACTTACTCCCCTCTAAACAAACATACATACATACACACACATAGCACTTTATAGCAGGTTTCCATATACTATCTTATTTGAATAGGAAAATCTATTTGTCTACATCCAGAGCTGAACCTAGGCCTGRGAGGAGGAAGGAACACCTTAGGACTCTTGTTTGTACTCCCATGAGCTCACTGTCCCCTTAGTTAGGGGGATACTGCTCCCCAGATACTGCTGCTATCCATCCCAGGTGCCCCATGGCCCCACTCCCACCTTACCTAGTTCATGAGCAGCGGTGAAGGCTGACTGGAGTCCATCATCCTCCACGACAGCACAGCTCCGAGCAGGGTCACACACAGTACCCACATCAGCCATACCCAGAGTGTCACAAGTGGAGACGCCACACAGGTCCTGTGGAGAGGGATCATAGAAGATGCATGGGGGGTGAAGACACTTGGATCTGTTAGTCTGGATCCCAGATTAGTGGAGACCTGAGCACTGGGTACCCAGTACTGTCAAGGCCCAGATAGCCACACATGGCCGCCTGGCCAGGGCCAGGCATCCTGCTGTCCCACTCCGGGAGCACTGTTTCCAACACCATCTATTTAGAGGTGCTTCTTGGTGTTTTTGGCACCTGGCCTGTGGAACTGAGTGGAGCCTCACCTGGCGGGTGAACAGAATGGCTGTATCGAAGTGGTCAGGGTCTGAGTCGTCAGGGGTGTTGAGGCCACGCTGCCAGGCACAGAAGCTTCGTAGGGTCTGGGCAGCACTTGGCCCCACTTGGGGCCCCTCTTCACCGGACCCCAGAATTACTAGCCGAGTCACCACCAAACTGACAGGGTTGCGGATGCTTGGGTGCTTGAAGGCCTTGGCTGCTGCTGCCATAACTGTCAACAGGTAGCGCTTTATCCCTGCACCATGAAAGGCTGCCATCTTGTCATCTGCCACCACCAGGGTCTCTACAAATCTACTCAGTGAAGCAAAKCGCTGTAGAGAAAAAAGGGAGAGGAGGATCCTGAAATGGCCTCTGAGACCCATGATCACTCCCCTCCATCACTTCCTGGGTCTGAAACTCAGCACAGCCCATTGGGCCCCACATACCCCATAGATTCCTGACGGGTCTGGGCTGGGCCGTCCCCCCATCCCAAATTCTAGGGCTTTTGGGGTAATGCTGAGGACCCAGCTGTTGGTTCTGAGAAGGAAAGAAGGGGATGCCATGTCCTGGAACTGTGGGCCCCAGAAGTGAAAAGCAACTGGAATGCCTCCAGGAGGTGTTTTGGGGTACCCAGGCCTGAGTGTGGCTGGGGCCTGTGGGACTAGGGCTAGAGGGCTGGGCTGCAACGTGTCTGCCCTGTGTGGTTGGAGGAACAATTCAGTCAGCAGCTAGGGCCAGGGCCAGATCTCAGCGTGGCGGGTGTGGAGGGAGCGTCTGGTCTGGATTAAAGCTAGAGAGGGAGGAGGAAGGAAGGGAAGAAGGGGGAGACAGGAGTGGGAGGGAGGAAAGGATGGAGCCTCAGGCAGCCTCAGTCAGTCCACAGTGTGGGAAGGGGATTGACCAGAGGAGGTATTGGGATGCCTTTCCTCCCCTKCCCACTCTTGTCCTAGTTTGCAGTTTGCCAGAACAAATTTCAAGAAAGCATCAGAAGCCAGAGGCCAATCCCTTGGGACTCAAACCTCACTCCTTTAGCTGAGTGTGGGGGTGAAAAATCACTGAGGCAGAGAAAAGAGCCAAGGCCATGGGGGCTGTTAGGAGAGCTCTATTGCTGGGGACTGTGCCAGTAGGAGATGCCAAAGCCAAGAAGGGGTATGGGGGTGGGATAAGGGAAAGCAGCCATTCCCAGCCTAGAGTATCTGACCCACCTCCAGGAATACTTGGAGTGGATCAGTGGTCTGGCTAGGAGAAGGGTTCGGGGGTGGGGGGGGGGAGAGAGGGAGGACCCTTCCCAAGACAGGAGGCCAGTGGAGAGAGGAAAGGCAGACAGACAGAAGGAAGGGAAGCAGCATGGCCAGAAGTAGAAGTGGGTGGAGAGAGGGTGAATAGGGGTCAGTAGGACAGACATGGAGAAAGGACACTGCAGGATACAGATTCCAGGGTTGCCTACCTTGGCTCTTCGGGGGCTGGGGCTGGGGCTCCCAGGAGGAGCCTTGACGTTGCACATGGGACCCTGGCTGCTGTCAGGACTCTTCCGGCGCAGGATGTGAGCCCCAGGTCCCCCGGCAGAGTTAAGGGTGCCTCCCTCCAGAGGCTGGAGGTGGAGCTCAGCCCCCTGGTACTGCAACACTCCTAATAGCGCTCCCCCGTCCCAATGCAGAGATGCCACCGACTCTGGATCTCCGTTGATGGTGCCAGTCAGGTAGGTGCCGGGCTCTGCCCCATCCAGCAGTTCAGGTGCCTGGCCCAGGTACTGCACYGTCAGCCCCTCAACCTGCACACCAGGGTCCTGCTCCAACTCCAGTAGCAGTGTCTCCCCAAAAGCCAGCAAGCGGTACAACAATCTGGCGGGGGCTCCTGAGCCAGGCAGAACGCTGCYGTTAAGCTTCTCAGGAAACACGATCTCCTCCTCCCGGGGGAGGGGGCTGGCCGGCCAGGCTGAGGGCAGGAGGGAGGCCAGCAGCAGCAGCAGCAGCCACAGCAGCCCAGAGAGGGGCACAGTGGGGAGCAGCAGGCGGGGTTGGATTCCCCACAGCCAGCACCCCGCCAAGCCCCTCCCGGGATGTGAGCTGGTCCGGGACATGGCACGGGCGCTGCAGCTGGGAGGAACTGAGGCCATCTGGAGCATGAAGTCCTCCACACTCTAGCTGTGGAAAGCTCCTCTCTAAAGCCTGGGGGCTAGGATTCGTGCCAAGGTCAGAGGCAGTTTTCAGAGGGGCTGAGGACCTTCGGAAGAGATGGAGAAAACTTAACCCTTAGACTCAGGAGAGGTGCCCAGGGGTCTGGTTCCTCCAAACTGCCCTCCTGTGCCTTCCTCTCCTGGATCTTTGTCTTTCCCTGCCAGTGTCTTCCGCAGCTTCTCTGGCCTCTCCTTCTGTACAACTTTGTCTGGCTTCGCCTTCGGCCTGCCCTGTCTCTCTCTCCTTCCGCTGTGCCTTTGTCTCTCTCCTCCTGTCTCTCTCGTGTCTAAGTGTCTATGGGTCTCCCTGTGGGTTCTCCCCAGCCTTTCTCCCCGCCAGCTCTTTTAACCATCTAGAGCTTCTGTGATTGGCTGAGCTGTAAGCCACTCAGCCGGGAGCTCTGTCAGTGGGACATAGACTTTGCTTCCCAAAATCCTAATTTTTGTTTTCCTTTAAAAAAAAAAAAATGGGACTTGCCCAGGGGAGGGGAATCTCTAGCAGCCGGATGGATTATAGGAACTGAGCCAGCTGATGACATAGCCTTTTCCCAAACCCCACACTCAGCCCTTAGCTGTCTCTTTCCCTTTTTGGTGGGACAGAGCCCCAAGGGAGGTAGGGAGCCAGGGAAAGGGCCCAGATAACACGCACAGATAGAATCATACCCTGGGAGAATTCCCGCTCCTACTGTCTGACCTGGCTGACTTCCCCTTTCCCAAGGCTCCCTCAATGCTGCCCTCTGCCCTCACAGGCTGATTGCCAGGGCTAAGGGGACTGAGCAGGCTCTCTGGGGGAGAGAGGGTGGGGAACAGGCGAGGAAGCAGACAATGAAGAACAAAGAAAGGAGGTACCTTGACATAGTTCAGGATGGGACCAAACAGCTGGAGAGAGCAGAGGGGGCAGAAAGACGGGGGAGGCAGCGAGCCAGCGATCAGGGAGCTTACTGTCCAAAGACAGGATGATTCTGCTAGAATGGACATATATAAAAGAGACAGACAACACTGCAGGGAGGGTTAATAACTTTTTTATTTTCCTATAGAAAGAGGATCCAGAGTGGCACCTTATTTCTCCTCTCCTTCAGGTTCCCCCTTCCTGAGTTACCCCCACAAAGCCGGGAACAGCTATTCCGCCTCCACTCCCCAGGATCCCCCCCTGCTTCCTGACTCCCCATTTCCCTGGCCCAGCTCCCAGCAGCTTCCCCCAGGCTCTTGGCCCTGCTCCTACCCACTCCCAACTACCCTAACCCCTCCCCAGTCTCAAGTTGGCAAGCCCCCAGTATAGGCAAGACTTGCTCTCTCAAGAACTCAGAATTACCCAGTGTCAACCTGAGGAAATCCCCAACCTGGCTCCCTTCTCTGTCCCCACCTTGCCCTGAAAAGCCAATAGTTCCTGGAATATCTAGTAATCTTTGATTTCTCATTCTCCATGGGGATGGGGGAAAGAGTGGAGTATGTCTGGGGTGAGGAGAGAGGCTGGGGAGAAGGGGTGGTGTTGGAGAAAGGAAGCAAATGATTCCTTTTCTTCTGGATTGGAGGTGACTCAGAAGAGGGGTGAATTCTCAAGGCAAGGAAGTAAAGGGTTCAGAAATAGGGGCAATTTCTGCTCAGCCAACCCTACAGCCACTTGTTTCTCCAGGAAATCCCCAGGAAGGAGAGTGCAGTCAGCAGTCCCTTCCTTTTTCCAGAGGGGAATCACCTCCCCCTGCCCCCATTCCCTTAATCACTTTCTGCCATGTCACCTCCTGTCCCCCACATCATATCCGCCATAATACTTCATCTCCTCCTCCCTTCCTGCCCAGGTCACTAATACCTGCCCTGGTGCCTATCACTTCCTATATCACCCACCCCATGGTAACTACAAGACCCATCTTTTGACCCACCACATGCCCTGACCCTCCCTGGTCTTATGGGAGGGAAGGGGCTGGGGCTAGAGGAATTAGACAAGGGATGGGAGGCCAGAAGGGGCAGGGGCAAGAGGAGCTATCACCAGAGGACTCCTGCTGCTCCTTTCCATCCCCCCTCTGAGATGAAGACAAAGGGGGTGACTAAGCAGTGAAAGACAAAGGGCCTTAGAGTGGCAACAGCAGTGTGTGTGGGGGGTGTTGGCAGCAGAGAGAAAGCACAAAAGATGCAGTGTCCTAAGCAGCCCCCCAGGAGCAGTCACCCCAGTCCCAGCTCAAGTTGCCCCCAGGGCCAAGCAGCTGGATTAAGGCAAATAAATACAGCATAACATATTTAATGTTTCAACTATAGGGAGAAAAGGCCAAAGAAAAGGGTGAGGACTTCTTCGGAGGGTAAGGGGACCAAGCCTCTGTTCTGATTCTGCAGGGACTGCCTTGTCCTTCCTAAGTCCCGGCCAGTTCCCACAGCCATGGATCTGGACCCACCCTTTGGTACAGTTCCCATTAGGTCAATATTCATGCTAGAAGTCTGGCTTTTCCCTCTTTCTTTGCAGCTAAGAATTCTCTGTTTCTGCCACTCCCCTGGTTTGCATGCTCCACCCTGTTGCACTGCTGGTGGGCTTTGTCCCAGGGACCCTGACTAGGGGAGATCTGGAGAAGGCTTCTTTCCACTCTCAGGGTGGGAAATTGTACAAATTCTGCGGGTGGGTGGCCCAGCTGGAACTGGGCTTGAAGGCAGAGGAAGAGACAGGAACCAGACTTCAAGATGGGAAAACTCTGTCCATACAGAATCGGGATCAGAGTCCTGGTGCGATTACATTTTTATGCTTTTGGCCACTACCAAGGCTTGAGGGAAAAAGAGATTGACAGAATGGAAGTGGGGTATGAGACATCTATAGGGAAGCTTTGTGGGTCTGTGATTCTGTAAGTTCAGAATGCCTACAGGATATCGGGTCACCCATGGAGGATCTTCCCTCCCCCATCTGGGATGAGGTGGCTCCTACACACCCCYCTCCACCAATGCTGGTGGCCTTGGCGTCCTACTCTTTTTTTGTTTTTGTTTTGGTTTGGCGGAAGCTCTCAGACCTACCCAGACGCACTTGGGCCACCATCCCTATCCTCATTTGGGACATCTGGAAATTAGCTGGCTTTCCCTGTTAGAAATCTTTAGCATTCCAGGAGAGAAAGGTTATTGGCAAAGCCTGGGGCTGTCCCAGGAGGGCAGGACCATAGCCAAGGTGGAACGGAGATTAGGAACCCCCAAATGAAAGTSAGCCAGGGACATTTTCCCTGGTACACGCAGGCGGGCTTTGCCAGAAAAGGCGAAGTGCAACTTTGCCCCTGCTACAGCGGCAAGTTCCCTTAGCTCACGCCGGGAAAAGCCAACCAGGAGCCGTGGGAGAAACCGCCCTAAGTAAAGATGGCGGCATTCACTGTTATTTAAGTGCAAATGAAGCTAAGTCGCAAAACCCGGATGTTGTCAGGTTCGTAGCAGACGGCGTTGCCAGCTTCCCAGATGGTGGATCTATTGTGCTAATAGACGAGAAGCCCACAAGGAGGCGCGCAGGAATCACTTCCGCCCGGTTCTCCTTCCAGCAGTCTGCACCCAGGGTAAGATGGCGGCGCTGAGGGCCCTATGCAGCCTCCGGGGTGTCGGGACCCAGGCGCTGCGGTCCGGGGCTGGGATCCGTCTGTCGATTCAGCCCAGCAGGTGAGATCGAGGGCAGTCCTCGATATGTTCTCCTCAATGATAGAGTTTCCCAAAGATGAGGACACTCCATGGGCCCAGTGACCCCCTAGGAAAGAATGACCCAGGCCCGTGATCCCCTCGCTCAGACCTGATTTTTCAGGCTCCGAGATGCAGTGGCGCCCGCTGTGGCTGAGGAAGGGAACAGGGGCTTGAGCTTGTTGTGCCAGCGGCAAAATCAGTGGCGTGGGAGAAAACTTGAGTGCACCTCTCCTGTCATACCTAAGCAGAGCCCAGCCAAGGAACCTCACTCCCTCACTCTCCGTTCTCTTTTTCTCCCCCCCCCCCCACCCTCTTAAGATGACCTTGTAGAAACTCCTTTCTCACATTCATGTTCACTTGCATAGGAATATGAATGTGATGGAAATATGAAGGAGCCAGGTTCCCCAGTATTGCATGCACAAGGATGATGGGTGGAGTGAACGCAGGAATAAGTCTTAGTAGGAGTGTAACCCCTAAAGTTCTACCTTATTTTGCCAAAGCTATACTATCTCTGTCCGAAATTAGGGCATTATAGAATCGGAAACGTAGGAAGCAAGCATTAGTTCATTCCCTTTGTCTAGAATCTTGTCTTTAACTTCTCAGAGGCGCCCGGCAATGGCAGCCAGATGTGGAATGGGCACAGCAGTTTGGGGGAGCTGTCATGTACCCCACCAAAGAAACAGCACACTGGAAGCCTCCACCTTGGAATGGTAAGTACCCAGAACCTACTGTCTCAAACTATAGCCATCCCTGCCCCATGCTGATTGTTAGCCCTCTGTCTCAGGCAAGTTTTAGCCTCTGCTATGTTTGCTTCTTTCACCACCCAATTCAGCAAACACATTGATGATAATAACAGGTATTTGCAGGATAGAGACGGAAAAGAAGGACATTCCAGAAGAAAAGAAAGAGTAGGTCCTAGTTATTACCTAAAGGCTCCTACCAAATTTCAATAATTAGTGTCACCTTTTTCCAGGTTTAATACATTTTTCCATCTGGACAAGTAGTTTCCCCACTGGCACTCAAATATAACCTACTTGAATACAAACCATATTTTTTCCCACATCAAAATTAGCTCTTCTTCAAGTACCCTAAATACATGTATGAAGACATGAATGGTGTAACACTACTTTGTGTACAACCAGAGATATGAAAAATTGTGCTCTATATGTGTAATATGAATTGTAATGCATTTTGCTGTTTTTTTTATATATATATATATATATATCTTAACAAATTAGAATAAATAAAAATAAAAATAATTTAAAAATAATTTTTAAAAATTGGCTCTTGATTTTTTAAAAATTTCTGATCAGTAATACCCTCATTTCTTTTATTTCTTCAAAATTGAAACTTTTTAGTAATCTTTGACTCTTTTTCTCTTTTGGCTTCTAAGTTTTTGTTTAGTAAGTCATCAGATTACATAGATTCTTTCATAATATTCATACCAGGTTATCTCTTTCTTTTAATTTTCATTGCCATCGCTCTTGTTCATATTTATCTTATATTAGACAATTATCTCAGGAGTCTATTTATTGGGTTTCTGCCACTGATGTTGTCCCCTCTTTAGCTGGCCTCTGAGTTTAGCCTCTAACTTGAAAACCTTCTGCCTCAGCCTCCCTATTARTTGGAATTACAGACATGTATCACTATACCCATCTGTGCAACATTTTGTATGTGTTATTTCACTTAATC